ACCCCTTCCATATGCTGCAAGATCAATAGCAGGGGAGAGTGCTGGGAAGTTGCTTCATTTTCATTTTTTTATCGTTGCCAAGATACAAGGCTAGAAATCTGAGTTAAATCTTCTGTCGCCTTGTATCATTTTTGAAAATAATTACAGAAGCCTAAAAAAGCAGCAGGCTTTAGCTGCCTTGGCAACAGGACGGATTTAGTTTGGATAAAATGATAACGGGCTTTCGATTGGTGAATGTTTGCGAGCTAACCAACCCCTTGTTGCACTTAAACAAGGAGAGGAGTTTAGTCGACCCACTTAACTGTACTGCCAGTTTGTGTCGGAGCCATGTGGGGACAGATTTAGAGGAGTAAGCATCACTAGATGAGTTGATTTATGTTGAAGTTTTCTCTTGTTTTGATACAAGTCATTAACACAATGGTTTCACCTCAGCAGCACAAAACGGAGGGCTTTCTTTGAGTAGCTGGACTTGCATATATTCTCTTAACCCTCCCACTGTCTTTATGGGTGACCCCGCGAGGAACGTTGACCATGGAGCAGGATTGATGGTTTATCCCTTGAGGTCCACGTGGCAGGGGTGAGGTGGTGCTCACTCCTCACCCCTGCCACATGGACCCAAGGGATAAACCATCAACCCTGCTCAATGGTCAACTTTCCTCGCGGGGCCACACCCATTAGGACAGTGGGAGGGTTATATGGCTCAGAATCTGCCAAAGATGTGCAGTACATTCTTTACATTTTGATCCAATCAGATTTCCTCTCCCTACTAAACCTTCTTGGATGTGACTGAGCATTACCTTCCAGTCTCAGCTGGCTAAAGCTTAAAGCCTTTACTGCTCGGCTTTAGGAGACTAGAGATACATTTAATGCTTTTTTTCCTTCCTTTAAACCGTTATTTCTTATCTCTATAAGAAAGCATGGTGCTTTTAATTTTTTATAACTCATACATAATATTCAAAAGGTTTTTTTCTCCTTTTCTGGCAAAATATGTCCGTATTCGATAGCTTTGTTAAGAGGAAACTAATTGGTGCAATACCTATGGAAGGGACTGGCCAAGCTCTGCATGAAAGTAGAAATGTAATGTAACTACACTTTACCATTTATATAAGAATAAACTGAGTTCAGTTTTTCATTTTGTTTAGCTATTTAATTTAAGGGACAAAACTTCATAGCTGCAGGTCTGTAGTGATCATTTAGAGCAAAGCTGATTCACAGACTACAGGGGCTGGTCAGTTCTCTACGCTCAGAGTTTGGAGCTGAAGAATAATCTACATTCCTAATGTAATTCCAACTATAAATCCATTTGAAGCCGGTAGAACCGCTCGTCGTGCCCAAAACGAGTTCCATTAGCATGACGCCAAGCTAGCTAGCATGACAGCAGCTGCAGCACCACTCCAATCAGGAAAAGAGAAGTTATTCTGATACGTAATTGGCTACGTTTTACAAAAAACATAAACAAACTGTTCCGATATTGGTTCTGAAGATGTTCATTGTCCTGTTTCACCATCAGTGGCTTAAGGGTCTTCGGAGTCAAATAGCCAGGAACATGTTTATACCTCGGCATAACTGGCTTGCAGGTGGTCAGAGCCAACAGTCCCTGTTGAACTGGCTGCACCTCTCCGCCTACCCAATACCTCATGAAACAGTGTTGTATGCCATAATGCGAACACAAAAAAAACTACGGAGCTACGAATTATTTACGCTAGCTTTCTAAGGGGAGGACCTTGTAATACGTAAGCAGCTGGGTGGCGCTCAGACCGGAAACTAGCTCATTCTTTGCTACGCTATTTAAAAACATTGGATACTCTTAATAATCAAGCTGTCGAAATCCAAAATTTTATTTTCAACTGAAGATTTTCTTCATTCAAAGGAAATTTGCTTTAAATGATCTTTGCAGCAACTCCAGGAATCATTTTGGCAAAACATTCCTATAAATTCTATAAGAGACAAAAAATCTGATCATTTTGGACCAGCTCAGTGTCCTAATGGTAGGAGCGTCTGACCTCAGGCTGGGGAATCAGGGTTCAAATCAATGGTTAGGTCATATCAAAGACTTAAAAAATGGGACCCAATGCCTCCCTGCTTGACACTAAGCTTTAAGGGGTTGGATTGGGGAGTTAAACCACCAAATAGTTCCCAAGCCATGGCCACTGCCGCAGCCCGCCGCTTGATGGGTCAAATGCGGAGAACTAATTTCACACACACATCAGTGTATGTGACAACTAATGAGACTTTAAGTTTTATTAATATAGTATTGGAGCGTGTTTTGACATTTATCATCTTCAGGAGGTTCTTTAGAATAACAGAATACATTTCGACATAACTTTTCACACAAGAGCAAAAATAAAAATAAGCCATTTAGTCTCTCTGTCACTCCCAGGTTGTCTGTCTCAGACTTTCTCATATAGACCCACACCCCCATCGAAATGGCAGAGCTTGCATGATGACATAGTCCCAAAAACCTTGATTTGGCTAACTTTATAAGTAGTGCTTCTTCTGCGCCTGGGTCTCAGCCTCATCAGAAAAAAAGTCAAATGGAAATGTTGCATTAAGCCACTTATCAGGGTTGAGCACATTCGGATAATCCTGCACGCTCAAAGTGGCTCCTGTTATGCAGCTGCTTGTGTAGCACTGTTTGCAGCAACGTTTTTGCTTCTTATTGGTGTGCGTGAGTGTCTTGTGTGCAGTGTGGTATTCAATATGAATTGTGTGTTTGAGAGTTGGAGGTTTTTTTGCTGAGAGCTTCGAGTTTCCGTTTAAGAAGCAGATGTGAGGCATGTAAACCCAAGCGTCATCAGGTCCTGTAGTTTAAAACCTCAGCGGGGCCTCTTCTTGTCCTGGTCTTTGGTTCTCTGATCATTCCTTTGTACTGTGGTTTCAATCTCATGAACCTGCTAAAACCTGATTCAACATAAGCTATTAGCACATCAGACCCTACATTTAGAAGGAGCCTCATGGTCTGAATTGGGTAAAATTTCAAGAGGCTCCAAGATCTTGGAGGTTCTGAACCAGTTTCACAGACTGCTTGAGCGGTAGAGTATCACCAAATACACTTCTAACATTTAATTTAAACCAAAAAGTGTAGTAAATATGACTTCTCATGAATCTTTTTATGGCTATATCTGTTAGAAAAACTGAGAAATGGAGCTGTGCTAGCTCGGTTTGACAGGGTGCACGAGGCAGTTGCTTACTTTAGTTAAAGCAAACCTCAACGTCCCACATGTTTCAGGATAAGCAGCCTTTCACTGTGCTCCTGTCTGGAAAACCGCTCATGCTGTGCCCATGCTGGGCTACGATTACTCTTATTCACGATATGGTGCATGTACCCTTTCATGTCATAGCTTTGCACAAGTTGTGCGCTTCATTAAAACTGCTCCAAATGGGACTGGTTTTAGCAAGTTGATAATTACAAAGTATATCATTTTGTCGAAATCCTCGGCTCCTTGTGGTGTAGGCTGCACATTATACAATCTATGACACAAAGTATTCATGCTAAATCTCCAGCCCATGGGATGTGTGAGTGAGAAGGCTGCTGAGTCCTCACACAAACATGTTGGAGCCATGATTCCTTTGGCAGAGTTAACCACATATTCCCATGCTTCTTGTCGCCTTGGCAGAACAAACACATTTAGTCTCACACTTCTCCTGCTGTTCTTATCACTCCTCCACTTTCTGATCCATTCACCGCCTTCCCGTCTCGATATCGCTCTCCTCTGTGGGGGTTCTTATAGATGGATTTGCCTTATCGGAGGATCTGTTGGATGGCCTGTGGGAAACGGGCCTCGTCTAATCTAACACTGTTGGTCAGAGTTAAGAATCTGTCATCACCTCACCTAATAGGGTTTAAGCCTTTTCAGGGCTCCTGTTTGGAGTTGCCTTTTTTGCCTGTTTACCTCATCTGAAATCCTAGCTTGGTTTCTACATCGATTTATGATGTGCTGTTTTCAGCTAAGCATCCCTGTCTTTAGGTAATACTCTCAGAAATAACTAACCCTAATCAGATAATGTATCTTTGAGAGTTTCCCATTTGGCCAACTTATCCCTCCATGCATCTTCTGTCCCCAACGATCAGGAAATTCTTCCCCCTCCGACATTATTGATGAGGTTTCAGTCCCTTAATTGCACTTTGAAACGACAGGGCCCAGACAGATGATGCTTCTGGAGGAGCCTGGAGTGGCAAAAATCCGCACTCTCGCCTCGCGCCTCTTTAACGTCCTCACTGGGAGGAGCTAAGGAATGAGGCAGAGACGTGTGTGAGAGAAGGCACGTTAGCGTAATGAGAAGCACCCCTGGTGTCTTTTTAATTTGCCTCTTCCTTTGAAAACGCAGATGGCTCTTAGTGCCAAACAACGCTCTACAACCTTCTGCTCCTCTTCTTCAATCTGCAATGTCCTCATCCGGTCCACCTAATGACAGGCTCTTTCATGTTCCTGTAATAGGCCTGTCTACATTGTCTCAGAGATGCAAAGCCAAGTTTCAGCAAAAAAAAAAAAAAAACAACAAAAAAACAAACTGCACCATTTGTCTGAGCCGGTCTACCTGCAGCTCTTAAACTGCCGAGTGTGTGCACCGGCATTAGCAAAGCCTGCATGTGTCTGGCCCACAAAGCAGGCTTTCCCTGTCACATGCCTGTGGATGTATGCACACGTGCACATCTGAGTGACAACGTTGTATCTTCGGGGTGAGCGGGCTGGAGTTAGTCCCCCGGGAGCCGTGGCGAAAGCACTGCGGAGGGTTATTTGGGTTCTATCACTGCGCTGTGTGTGTATTGTCCCAAACACCCACAGTGTGTTAATACTGCTCCTCTGGGGAGTTCTGCGCCACCGCCTGACGTGATTCACACTGACTGGGGGTGACCTTGAGAACTGGGACAAACAAAGGGACCCACATAGACACACGGAACTGTCCCCACACTAATTATTACCGTAACTTGCTGCCTTCACCCTGTCTCACTGGTCTTTGGTGTATACTTTTGACCCTTGGCTTTTACCTCTCCTCAGGTCAGCGCGACAGTGGACTACATCAGAGCAGCCACTGGTCCAGGAGAAAGCACACCTGCCTTTGCAGAGCGCACCTGTGCCACAGTTACAATCGGTGGAATGTAAGTAAAAGCCAAGAGCTGAACTTTCTTTCTCTTTAGTTTTTTGAAATAAACTTCACATCTGCCGCTTTCCTTTCTGTGGAAGTTTGCTGCAAATAGGCAGTTATTGACGGATCAAACGACTCGTCAGAGGACAAAATATTCTCACAGATTTTGTTTATGCTCCTCTGTTCAAGTTAATTTCAGCTGATGTAAGACAGTCATTTAGAAATAACTAGAATTTCTAATCTTGCAAATCAGAGTACCCTGAAAGCGCTTCTTTGTTATGAAAAAGTTCACCTCGGTGCAAGCAATTATTTCTCTATCTGCAAACACTTCTTTGAAGGGAATTTGTTTTATCAGTTTCAGACGTTTTTCTTTCACACAGGATCACACGTCGTAAACAGTTTTTAGAGGCTGAAATTTAATCAAAACCAGAAAAGAGGAGCTTTACACCACCTGACTTAAAACGAGGCTTTACAAGTCCGTTTTCACTCAAAAACAGTTGAAAGCTGCAGTTATCTTCCATTTTCATATCACTAAAGTCAGAAAGCAGCGCCCCTTGTGCACACTGAGACAGATCCCTCTTTATCGTCAAACAACTGTCTCATATTTTACAGCAGTTCTTTTAGTTTAGTTTATTTCAAACAAAAAAAACATGCATAATTTTTTTAAAAGTACCACAAACAGAAAAAATACATATCATCCCTTCTGTGTTTGAAAAGGAGTAGGCTGAAGTGGAAACTTATATATCCCTACCCCTTTATACAAGTAATTTTTACTTGTTTACTAAATCTAACACAAAACCTACATTAAAACAAACAAAATGGTACAAGTCACCAAAAAAACACCAAATTATATGGAAAAAAACAAAAAAAGAAAAAAAAACATCTTTTTACAATTGATACAATTTACTTTTCCTTGGAATAAAGGACACCCACATAAATCATCTATTTTCCACTATATACTTGTTCAGAATATGTTTTTTTATAATTCATTTTAAACACATTTATATTTGTACTTACTTTGATTTCTTCTTCTAAATTGTTCCATAATTTAACCCCTATTATTGTGATACACATCTGTTTTAATGTTGTTCTAAACTTATGTATCTTTAAGTTTAGTGTCCCTCTCAGGTTATATCCTCCTCCTCTCTCTGTGAACAGTTTCTGTATTTTATCAGGCATTAATTTATTTCTTACTTTATACATTATTTGTGCTGTTTTGTATTTAACCAAGTCCTGGAACTTCATTGTCCGCGTTTTAATAAAAAGTTCATTTGTGTGATCCAAATATCCTGCATTTGTTATTAATCTGATAGCCCTTTTCTGCATTGTTGTTATTGTTTTTAAATTACTTTTGTACGTGTTTCCCCAGACCTCTACACAATAGCTCAAATATGGCAGTAGCATCGTATTGTATAATATATAAAGTGCTTTCTGATTAAAAAATATACTTAGCTTTCCCCAATATAGCATTGCCCCGTGCAAGCTTCCCCCTAACATATTTGATGTGTGGCTTCCAACAGATCCTGCTGTCTATGACCACCCCAAGAAATTTTATTTCATATACTCTCTCAATTTTTACATTATTAATTACTATATCTAATTCATTGTATCTGCTTTTATTACCAAACAACATAAATTTTGTTTTCTCTAAATTTAGTGACAGTTTATTTACATCAAACCATTTTTTAAATTTATTAATTTCCTCTGTGACCACATCCAGGACCTGTTGCAATTCCACACCCGAGCAAAAAACATTTGTGTCATCTGCAAACAATACAAACTTCAATACTTGTAAAACCCTACAAATGTCATTTATGTACATTATGAATAGTTTAGGTCCTAAGACTGATCCTTGAGGTACCCCACATTGTATCTCTCTTAGTTCTCTACTCATAGGTTAAATCTGGGCTTGTAAACGTCCAATTACAATTCTGCAATAGCTAGACTACACCGCCACTCGGCTCCTCTAACAGTTGGTGTACCCCGGTGAAGGCAGGAGTCAGCGGTCGGTGAGTTTGGTGCTTTGACCCTGTTAAACCTTGTCTTAAGTTGTGCGGTATTAGTCGTCGTTATGCTTTTTATGCTTTCTGAAGAAATGGGCTCTGACACAGTATACAAATTTTCCTATACGTATAATTGTTTTGTTTCTAAGTTTTGGTAATTAAACTTTCATGTTTGTATTAAAAAAACTGACTGTTTACAGCTTAAAAGTTGGACCATCTCCATCAGGATCAAATACATTAAGCACCTTCTAACGGGTTTACTTTAACATGTCTCTTCCTCTTCCTTCACTAGTAACATCGCTGAAGCTCTGGTCAGTAAAGGCCTGGCCACGGTTATCCGATACAGACAGGATGATGACCAGCGGTCCTCTCACTACGATGAGCTTCTTGCTGCTGAGGCACGGTAAGA